TCTTCTCTTTTCTTCTCTTTTCTTCTCTTTTCTTCTCTTTTCTTCTCTTTTCTTCTCTTTTCTTCTCTTTTCTTCTCTTCTCTTCCCTTTGCTTCCCTTCCCTTCTCCCCTCCCCTCTCCTCCCCTCCCCTCCCCTTTGTACAGAAGTAGTTTGCTATTTCTGATTCCGTCCAGTACAGACCAATCTATCTTTTCTTCTCTTTTCTTCTCTTTTCTTCTCTTTTCTTCTCTTTTCTTCTCTTTTCTTCTCTTTTCTTCTCTTTTCTTCTCTTCTCTTTTCTTCCCTTCTCTTCTTCTCTCTCCTCCCCTCTCCTCCCCTTTGTACAGAAGTAGTTTGTTCTCGTCTGCAAACTATTTTTCTAGTCTAGATTTATTTTGTATGACTGAAATTTACCCTCCAGAGCTAAGATTTCCAACTATGAATTCGAACTTCGTTTAGTTTTTGGATATCCGCCTGCATTGGCTGGGTGCTGCGATTTAATGAGGCTTGGATATGTAAACTTTTTAGAAACTTGGCTCGGATTGCTTAATGAAATAGAACAACACTATGTTACATTTTTTTTCCCCCTCAGGAAGCTGCGTGATGCCACCGGAGTGGACATCAATATGAGAGTTGGAGTCCATTCGGGAAATGTCCTGTGTGGGGTGATAGGTCTTCAAAAGTGGCAATATGATGTCTGGTCTGATGATGTGACATTAGCCAATCACATGGAGGCAGGAGGCGTGCCAGGGTGAGAGGAATCAGAGGGTGAGCTGTGCGCTCCCAAATATCACAGAAGGTGTTTATGTCTTTGGCTTAGCTTTGAATATGGGCTTTAGTGGCTCAGATTCAGGTATCTGTGGGAAGGGGAAAAGAAGACAAGTAACTTCAGAACATGATAGGGCTACTAGGTGAATGACACAAATTGTGCACTGTATCTTATGATATACAGACAATCCACAGACAATCACTGTGGTTTCTATTGGATTCAGCCGAAGCAATAGTAAATTGGCGGCCTGGGTCTCTGGAACCGGCAGCAACACAGGCCTGCCACGCCCCTGAACTGGTTCTCTCGGCAGCGCTGTAGGAGCCACTATCTTGTTTTTGCTTCACATGTGTGCATAGCACATGTCCCTGAGCAAACCGGCAGTAGTGGCAGCTAGAACTCACCCCTGACTGGGTGCCAATTACATGGAAAGAAATCGCAATGAACATTCCCATTAAGTGTGTGAGCTTTCAACTATGGTCTGCGGAGATTATCAGCCATTCGGATTATAGTTGTCTCAAAGGTGCTTTTTCAAAAGGCAACTAGACTGGGTTTTTTTCCCCCTGAAAAAGAAGAAAGTGTTGCTAGTGAAAACAGGGAAAAAGAGAAGCCAGTTAAGTATCATTATCAGTGAAAAACTAAAATGAACAACTCTGGTTTCATGTATCCACCCACAGTTTCTTATGTCCTCAGCCTGATGTGGGATTGAAACTTTTTTAGCAACTGGTTCTCTGCCCGGCTGCTGGGTGGGCGTGGCCATGGTGGGTGTGGCCTACTCCATGGCTTGCACCATGGTGGCGGTGGAGGGTGGTGGTGTTTTCATTCTCCCCAGGCTCCAGAGGTTTTTCTTGAGCCTCCGGGAGGGCCAAAACGATCTGCAGGCCCTTCAGAGGCCAGAAACAGGCTCATTTCTGGACTTCCAAAACTTCTGAAAGGTCTGTTTTTCATCCTCCCCAGGCTCTGGAGGTGTTAATCAAGCCTTCGGGAGGGTGAAAATGGTCTCCCTGGGGTCTGGAGACCTGCCTGAGACCAGAAATCTGCCTGTTTCCAGACTTCCAGAACTTCTGAAAGGCCTGTTTTTCAGTCTCCCAGAGCCTCCACGTGGGCCCTGCACTTACCCGGCATTTAAAACAGGCCATGTAGAGACTCCTGGGAGGAACAGGGAAAGATGGATTTGGGGGGGGGGGGGGGGGGGGGGGCCCCCAGCCGGTCCTTGCAACTACCGGTTCATAGAACTAAATGTAAAATTAGCATCCGGTTTGCCTGAACTGGTCCAAACCGGCTGAATCCCATCCCTGTCCTCAGACCAGTCTACTCTGCAAGGTTGTTATACATGTGGTTGTTTTGGAGAGTTTTCCTATGGAAGAATTCCTTCTCCAACACTTGGTTTCTGTTCTGACCCACCTCCTCCGTCCAAGAACGAAAGCCAAAACAAACGTAAATGAGAATGTTTTTTAATGTCCAGACTCTCAGTTGCCAAAAGCCAAATCAACAGGCAGATAAGCACTTTGGCAGCAAGTCCTACAAACCTTGGCAGCAATGCAAGCAAACTCTGGCAGCAATCCAGCTTGCCAAGTTTGTTTCTCGTTAGTCCCTAACATTGACTTCTGCAAGAAGGGCGTGGCACAAGCAGTCCCTTTTATAATCTGGAGAGGAGCTTAATGAGTATTAGAATAATTACCTCCTGTAATTATGTAGTTGTTCTTGATGCCAAGTAGCCCTTCGATCGCGTGCATCCCGGAACAACTCACAAGTGGTTTCTGGATCACTCTCTCTTGTCTCCTCCCCACTAATCCAAGGCTCAGGCGCCACCTGGTGGCCAACCAGTCTCTCTGCACCCTGCTCAGAGTCGGAACCCTGTCCAGGTCCTCCACATCCTCCAGGGCCGACTCATAAGGCCCCTTGCTGTCGAAGTCTGGTGGCAGCTCCAACGGCTCCTGCCGGGCCACAACAGTTTCTATGGACATTTTTTAAAAAATAAACTTCTGGTACATTGTCCCCACATTGGGCTAAGAGGACCAATCCTGACTTTTTCCTAGGTACCAAGAGCTTGTTTTTTTTGTGTGTGTGTCAGAAGCATCGCAATTGAAATAAAGCACATTACATGAAATCGAATTTAAAATATAAAACACAAGATTAAAATATGTACAAATTAAACAGATCTTGCGCAGAAACTAACAACATTCATTGTGTTCTGCCATGAGACCCTCAGATTTACACTGATCGGGGCACCAAGGGCAGGTATATCCATGTGTTGTTACCTGCCACCACAATCGCATGTCACCACAATCGCAAACAACATGGAGGACACGAAAGAAGCCTCCCAAAGAATACCAAGAGCTAAAAACCATCTTCACCTGCTCTATCCTTCTTGATACATCTGAACCCAAACAACTTCATCCTACTCCTTGGATGACTTTTCCCTCAGGGGGAACTCTAGCATAACTGGCTTGAAGTGGGGAATTGAGGAGCTTCTTAACCATTGTGTTGTGAGACAACTGAAGGAGAAGAAGCAGATGTATAGACTGTGCTGGGAATAAAATGAAAGATGGTTTTTTTTTGCCGGGGGTGGAATTCAGCTGGTTTGAACCAGTTCGGGGAGAACCAGATAATAATTTTACATCTGGTTTGCTGAACCAGTAGTTTCAAGGACTGGCTGGCCCAGCCAACTTCATCCTGCCTCTCCCAGGAGTCTCCACGCAGCCGGTTTTGGATGCGAGGTAAGGGCAGGGCCCGCATGGAGGTCCTGGGAGGGGGAAAAACAGGCCTCCCAGACGTTCCGTAAATCCAGAATTGGGTCTGTTTCCGGCCTCCAGAGTCCCGGGGAGACCAATTTTGCCCTCCCAAAGGCTCAAGGAGCATCTCCAGAGCCTGTCGAGGGCAAGAAATGGAGCCTCCCAGAAGCTTCAGAAGTCGAGAAATGGATCCGTTTCTTGCCTCCGGAGAGCCTCCGGAGTCCAGGGAAGCCTGTTGTCACCCTCCTGGAGGCTCAAGGAAAGCCGCCTGAGGGAAAATGCCCCCCCCCCACCATGGTGCAGGAAGCCAAGTAGGCCATGTCCATCATGGCCACACCCACTCAACAACCGGGCAGAGAACCAGTTGCTAAAACATTTTTAATCCCACCCCTGGTTGTTGTTTATGGTCTCCGAGCTTCCCAAAGAAAGGTGAGACAAAGATGTAACTACCACCTCCATTCATCTGCTGGTACCATCTACTCCCAGGGGTGGTGGTAGTAACATGGTCCTGGTGAAAGACAGCAAGATAGATAGAGTTGATGAGAAGATGGGACTCATCTGATTCTGGAGAAAATAACTAAATGGCCAAATTTAGTATTTGCAATGATTTCCACACACCCCAGAACTCAAGGCTCTTGATCTGACAAAAAACTTTGATCAGTTTAAAAGACTATCAGTTGGCTGGCAACTTTACCACCTTTGTTTATTTCCCTGGAACTCTTCCAATAACATAAGCTATTTTTTTTTTTGGACTTATTTAAAAAGTATTTTATTCCTTTGCTTAAAGACAGTCTAGACCAGTGTTTCTCAACCTTGGCAACTTGAAGATGCCTGGACTTCTGGACTTCGGCCTGGACTTCCCAGCTGGGAATTCTGGGAGTTGAAGTCCAGACATCTTCAAGTTGCCAAGGTTGAGATACACTGGTCTAGACAAATGCTAAGATCTCTCCTCAGAATTTGGCTGAAATATATGGGCAGTGCTGCCACCAAGAGGAGAAAAGAGACATGGCACAGGCAAAGATGCAAATACATAAAACGTTCGTGCAACATAGCAGAATAACAAGAGTTGGAAGGGACCTTGGAGGCCATTCCGCCTCACAGAGATCTTATTTGGCAAGGAGCTTTGAAGCTGACCTAACCAGATCTCTAGATTTAATCAGCTTTCCAATGTTGATCATCAGTTTGGATTGAATTTTGAATTGGACATTGCCAAACTGATCAGATGATTTGATATTTATTTCCTCAAGCACAGAAAAAAAATTTTTTTTTAATTTTATTCTACTGGATAAATTAACTGCCTCAACTAGAAGGACCAAATTCAGAGGTCTAGAAATCCACATCAATAACTATTTTGGATTTGACCTTCAGTGACAAAGTAGATTTTGTACAGTGAACAGTAATTCATGGTCTTTATTATTACAACATTTCTCTTTCAGGAGAGTTCACATCACAGAAGCTACCTTGTCACACCTGGGTGGAATGTACACCGTGGAGGAAGTTTGCTGTGTGCGAGACACTTACTTGAGGGAGAACCGCATCAAGACTTTCTTAGTTGTTGATCCCAAAGTAAGGAGATTCCAAACAACTTTGTAGCCCAGTAGATTCATTCTATGTTGGATAGAAGAGAAGAAGATGTTGCATAACATCTTGATAGACAAGCTAACTGCTAAATTTGTTTTAGGGTGGAATGTGAGTTCCTCCATTGACAATCCTGGTGTAACTGTTAGATCAGCCATGGTGATGCAGTGGTTAGAGTGCAGTACTGCAGGCTACTTCTGCTGACTGCTGGCTGCCTTCAATTTGGCAGTTCAAATCTCACCAGGCTCAGCCTTCCATCCTTCCGAGGTGGGTAAAATGAGGACCCTGATTGTTGGGGACAATAGGCTGAATCTGTAAAGCGCTTAGAGAGGGCTGTAAACCACTGTGAAGTGGTATATAAGTCTAAGTGCTAAGTATGCAACCTTGCTAGGAGATGCTGCATGGAAGCATTTTGATACAATATTGAGGTCTGGGTCATAAGGAAACATTTTTATTTTGCAACAGTCAGATGAAATTCTTGGGGAACTGCAATTCAGTGTAGAGAGAAGTAAAGTCCTACACGTAGGCAAGAAAAACCAAAACTATATATATAAATGGGTGAAACCAGGCTTAAGATCAGTGACTGTGAGTGAGATCTTGGAGTCTTAGTGGACAACCAGCTAAATATAAACCAGCAATGTGCAGTGGCAGCCAAAATAGCTAATGCAATCCTAAATTTCATTAACAAAGGGATACAATCAAGATCAAGTGAGGTACTAATACTACTCTATAAAGCCCCAGTAAGACCACACCTAGAGTATTGCATCCAGTTTTGATCACCACACTATAAAAAAGATATTTGAGACTCTAGAAAAAATGCAGAGAAGACCAACCAGGATGATATGGGGACTGAAGACTAGAGCATATGAAGAGTGTTTACAGGAACTGGGCCTGGCTAGTCTAGTGAAGAGAAGGCCCAGGGGAGACACGACAGCAATCTTCCAATATTTAAGGGGCTGCCACAGAGAGGAGAGGGTCAAGCTATTTTCCAAAGTACCTGAAAGCCAGAGAAGGAATAATGGATGGAAACTTAACTAGGAGAGGTTCAACCTAAAAATAAGGATAAACTTTCTGACAGTGAGAACAATCAAACAATGGAACAAAAGTTTCCTTCGGAAGTTGTGGAAGCTTCATCTCTTGAGGCTTTCAAGAAGAGATTGGACTGCCATTTGTCAGAAATGGTGTAGAGTTCCTTGCTTGGGTGGTGGGTTGGACTAGATGACCTACAAGGTCCCTTCCAACTCTGTTAACCTGTTATAATTTTATCACCATCTCAGTGTTATAACCTGCCCTCCTTCTGCATCACTATACCACACAGAAATCTATTCAAAACTAGGAGTAAATACGTTTTCACTAGCAAGGTAAGATTTGCAACTCATGAGCATTCCTTGCATTTCTGGTTTCTTTGATGTTTAGGCTGAAGAAGAAAGTTCTCATGACCTTCTCTCACCTGCACCGGGTGAGAGCCTCACGATGAGGGCCTCTGTCCGGATGACTCGCTACCTGGAATCATGGGGAGCTGCCAAACCTTTTGCCAACTTCAAACCTCTGGATAATCTCCCAGCAGAGGCAACAGGATTTGTTCGGAATAACCATTCGGTATGTCTAGCAGGAGAAACACTTCTTTTGGCGAGTTAACACCGGTCATTGTTCCATTCTCTGTAGCACGATAGCATTGGCACAATGTATGTGGATTTGGCTAAGACACTGAGCTTGCCGATCAGAAAGGTTGGCAGTTCAGCAGTTCGAATCCCTAGCGCCACATAACGGAGTGAGCTCCCGTGACTTGTCCCATTAGTACCTTCTGCAACCTAGCAGCTTCAAAAGCATGTACAAAATGCAAGTAGAAAGATAAGAACCACCTTTGGTGGGAAGGTAACAGTTTGCCTTCAGCATTTTGTCATGCTGGCCACATGACCACAGGGACGTCTTCAGACAGCGCTGGCTCTTCAGCTTAGAAACGGAGACGAGCACCGCCCCCTAGTGTTCCGAATGACTAGCACATATGTGTAAGGGGAACATATACCTTTAACCTTTTATGAAAATTTCAGATTATTTCACATTGTAGTACACTCATGGACACAGATATATTTGGATAGCAAAGGTGACCAATAAGAAGGTATTGGAGCGCATAATACCAGACATGCCACTGGAAGGAAAAAAAAATCACTAAATTGCATCTCACTTATTTTGGCCATGTCATGTGGGAGAATTCACTGCAAAAAGCAATTGTGTTGCAAAAGGTTTGTGGTAAAAGAGCCATGGTGGCGCAATGGTTAGAATGCAGTATTGCAGGCTACTTCTGCTGACCGCCAGCTGCCAGCATTTCAACAGTCTGATAACCCTGGCTGAGGTATAGTTTTCTTCCAAAATAGCTTACATTGAGATTTGAAACTCAAAACTACTTTAAACTCATACCTCCAAGCCAAACAACCAACACAAATATGCATGTCCAATTATTTGAGCCGCGGTGGCACAGTGGTTAGAATGCAGTACTGCAGGCTACTTCTGCTGACTGACGGCTGCCTGCAATTTGACAGTTCAATTCTCAAGTTGACTCAGCCTTACATCCTTCCAAGGTGGGTAAAATGAGGACCCAAATTGTTGAGGGGGGGGCAATAGACTGATTCTGTAAACCACTTAGAGAGGGCTGTAAAACACTGTGAAATGCTATATGTCTTATTGCTATTGCTTAAAGGAAACCAGGCCATTCAAAGAACACAATGGCTGGACACCATCATAGTTGGTGAGCCTCTATCCCGAAGGATTTGTTCAAGCCTCCGGGAGGGCGAAATCAGCCTCCCCAAGCTCTGGAAGTCTTCTGGAGGCACAGAAATGGGCCCATGCAGGTAAATACAGGATATGCGCAGAAGTTTGGGAAGGCCAGAAACGGACCCGTTTCTGGCCTTCCCGAACTTCTGCGCACATCCTGCACTTACCTGCATCAAAAATGGGCCGCATGGAGACTCCTGGGAGAGGAGGCGAGGGGTGGGCAGAGCCAGCCAGGAGTGGGATTTGAGGGTTCTCTAAACTGCACAGAATCTTAGTTAGATGTTCTCCAGAATTCCTGCGAACCCCAGCAGCCCACCCCTATACCCAATTGTTAATTCTGTTCTTACATTGTTATAAGTTAAGAATACCTATAATACATTGTGGTCCCCTTTTCTGTCTTGCAGGATATCTCTTTGGGATCTTTGACAATGGAACGGTAAGAAAAAGAATTAGTTTTAAGCCAGACTTCTCCCCCCTGATGCAAGTAGATTGTATAATTGCAATAAAACTTATCTAGCTAACGCAATGCCTCTGGAAGACGACAAGTTAGAGACGATTGCTTTGTAGTGTGAAATAAAAAAAAATAGATGTGACCAAATAGACTTCTTAAAAAAGTGAAATGGAAGAAATGGTATGAAATCACATGCTTTTCATTTGTATTGGGGGGGGGGGGAGTCATGATACTAGCAATATGTAGATTCTAGAGATTTAAAAGCTAGCAAGCTCAGAGATGTTAATCTAACAATGACACAATGGAGAATGTGGAGGAGTTATAAAGGATTTGTGGAACTCATAACAGATGTCTTGCAAGGTTAAAAGTTGATAGGATACTCCCATGTTTGCTAACTCAACAGCACAGAAGACTCAAAACATTTTTTTTAAAAGAAATTTTAGTGGCAAACATCTTGATGGACAAGCTAACTGTGCTAAATTTGTTTTAGGATGGAACCTGAGTTCTTCCATCTGAAATTCTTGTGTAACTGTTAGATTAGCCACGGTGGCGCAGTGGTTAGAGTGCAGCACTGCAGGCTACTTCTGCTGGCTGCTGGCTGCTTTCAATTGGCAGTTCAAATCTCAGCAGGCTCAAGGTTGACTCAGCCTTCCATCCTTCCGAGGTGGGTAAAATGAGGACCCAGATTGTTGGGGGCAATAAGCTGACTCAGTAAACCGCTTAGAGAGGGCTGTAAAGCACTGTAAAGCAGTATATAAGTCTAAGTGCTATTACTATCGTCCTGAACATGTTTTTTAAGACTTGAAGAATCTTCTAAGACAGTCATGGCTAACGTTTTTGTCATCATGTGCCAAAAGTGCATTCGTGTGCACACCCATAATTCAACACATGTACAACAGTGCACTGTCCCTGCGCATGCTTGTGCACCCCTACTCTCACCCCACCACTGAGTATGCACGTGACCCCCTGTGCTCCCCTTGCCCCATGCATGCACGTGCCTCCTCCCACATATGCCCCACTCTGCACATATGCCCATGACCCCCACACATACATGTGCGACCCCATGCAAGCACACACATCTCTTGCATGTGCCTCGCCCTCGCACATGCGCACCGAAGACCCCAAAACCAGCTGGCCATCAGTAGGCACACGTACATGTGCCGTGGAGCTGAGCTAGGACAACTGTTTGCGTCCTCGCAGAGAGAGCTCTGCATGCCACCTGTGGCACATGTGCCATAGGTTCGCCTTCACAGTTCTCAGACGTCTTCTATATTTCCATTTATGTATTTAATCGGTTTATATAGCCGCCCATCTTATATACGTGAGACTAACATCAGGTATGTTGAGATAGATGTGGAATCTGCAAAAGTCAAGTAGCTCTTTTTATTGATACATGCTATTAGCAATTTGGTTTATAACTCATAGCATTGTTCTCAAAGTTTTGATACATCAGTCAGGGGCAGTTTTTACTTGCTTTCCCTATCAGTTCGCAAAAGTGGGTGCTCACTTGCTTTCCTCACACATGGACCCGTCTACAAATGCGCCCGGCATTCCATGCATGCGCTTTGCTCAAAAAATCATCCCAAAATAGGACGAAAAAGAGCCAGGGTGGGAGGTGGGCTGGCCCACCCATGATTTCTGCTACCGGTTCAAGGGAATCGATCTGTACCTGCGGAATATGACCTATGATATCAGCACTAGTTAGAGTTGGCTGATCTTGAAGAGCAGCAGATTGGATTAAATGCTTAAATGGTGACCACCAGGAGATGGCAGAAGTTTAGCCTAGAGAGACAATCAGATGTGTATGTAGTGTGTGTGTGTGTGTGTGTGCGCGCGCGCACGCATGTGCATGTGCATGTGCATGTGTATGTATGTGAGGCAACTCACTTCTGTTTTGTCAAATGCAATGCAGGGGTACATATCATATTTAGAAGGATTCATCCTATTCAGAAACTCAGTATGAAAAAAATGTACCTCTTGCACCGTCAGAATTTGTGTTGCAGTAGCACATCCAGCAAGCACACACAAGTAAATGAACTTCAGCAGGATTCCATTATATATAAGAAACTTCTTTATATATAATACCTACAGCAGACGCCAGCATGCAAAATCAGGAACATAGAAGCAATATTCATAGAAGCAACTCATTACAGAGTAGAGAGATACAGTGGCTCGTATTATACAGAGGCTGCAAAGTTATAGAGGGCAAACCAACTTTTATATATAGTTCAGCAAGTCTAAGCCATGTCCAGACTTAAAAATGGTCTCTTATGGCCCCATACAAACAAATACTATGCTTCAGTTCCCAAACCTGTTGCCGTGTCTATCCAAATAGTCCCCATTGGCTAACCTAGTGACATGTCTATTCCAGTCTATGAAAAATCATTCCTACTCTGACATGCAGCTTGTTTGAATTAAATTCTCTCGAGTAGCCTAGTTTCTTCTTCTTCTCCACATTGAATTTCAGGTGCCGTGCCCCCAGGAGCCCTGATGAAGACTTGGAAGGTGTGGACGAGAAGTTCTTCCAACTGATTGAACAGCTGAATTCCCAGAAGTGCGTTTTGGGGGGTCAATGAACAGGCAATTCAAAGGGGTTGGGTTGGTTTCGTAAAAATGAGATCAGAGGACAGATCTTCCTTAGAGGTGAAAAAATGTCTCAACTTCCCAACAGAGGGTGTCATCTCCAGAACAAGTAGTCCCGAAAGACATTGTGTTCCATAACACAAACCCCACTCTTTCAACTTTGTGTGGTAGTTTGTAGGAGGCGGGGTTTGTAGTGCATATTTCCTCATTCTCTGATCATTGCAATTGCTGGTATTTCCCCACTGTGCTTTAACTTTAAAACATTTTGCAGAGGGAGCCTGAGTTCTAGCAATGATTGCGCTAAATTTCAGACAACGAATCTCCAAAATATCAAAAGTGAAGATAGCAAATTTTGTGCGCTTGTTTGCTTTCTTGGCAAGGCCCATTTTTAAAACAATTTTGGATTATCTTTAGTAAATAGGGATGAAGAAACAGGGAGGGGCAAATGTTGTGAAGGGCAAACCTCAAGAAAGCGACAGTTGATCTGTGGGTGTGACATTTGTCTTGTTACATTATGGCTTTAATACCCCGGAAATCTGAGTGAGTTGGGACATCATGACAGGTCCTGTTGTTGAAAGCAAGTGGAACAAGGCTCAGCAGAAATGTCCTCCCAAAATCCCCAGCTCCATTTGTAGTCAGAGAAATTGGATGCCTGTTTCTCTGATTTTTTTTCAGGGTAGGGGAGATGTCCTAACCCAGGGGTGTCAAACTCCAGGCCTGCAGGCTGCATTTGGTCCATGGGGTGCTTAAATCTAGCCCACGGGACTGGCCTGGAAATAGCATAGGAGCAGCCCATGGTGCCTCTGGCAGCCAAAATTGGATGCAGGCAGGGGGCCGTGTGTGACCCTCCAGGGGCCACTTTTCAGGCTGGGCAGCCTCCTGCATCACTCTGCTGGCCAAAACTGGGTGCAGTGTGGTCGTGTGCCGCCCCCATTTTGGGCAACAAGGTGCTGCAGGAGGCATTCATCTCATCTCTCCCCCACCCTCCAATGCTGATTTGGTTTTCAAAGAAATCTAAGAATAGGACTTTTTTTGCAATGATAAAATATTCCACTACTGGAAATTAGAAAGCGAATGGAAGTATGAGAAGCCCAGGAGGTCATAGGCTTCCAGAATAAGGAGTTTGTAATCAGAGGGGACCTTTGCAAGGTTATATCCTTTAGCTATCTTGGCATTAAAAAAAAACCCCATAATAATACCATAATCCACCTGTGAAAATTCCACAGAAATTCTCTTCTTCTTTGAAGGAACGGAGAAAGCAATTATTCCTTAATTAGACTGAAGGAGATTTGATAGAGCAAGACAATTTGCTATAGCTAACTCGCTCCATTCATCTCATCATGGGAAAATTTGCCACGGCCAACTTACCCAAAATAATTTGCCATGGTCGTTGCCAAACAATTCAATGCTATATTAATCATTCCATTCAGTTACTTTGTACTATTGGTGACCACGTTTTCGTCTAAATTATTATACAAGAAATACTTGTATTTCTGAATGGACTTATTTTGTTTTATTATTACTGGCCATGGTTCTGTTGAAATTAAACTTAACTTTTACATGTGTGGAATTGTCCTGTGATATGTTGGCCAGAGTGAGTTAGCTTAGCGAGTTGACTAAGGCTAGTTGGCTGCGGTGAGCTAGCCATTGTGAATTGGCCACAATGGGTTGGGTGTGGTGAGTTGGCCATGGTGAATTATCCCATTCCGGAACAAGATACAACAAATTTGATTGGGCCACTATAGAAATTGAATAAATAAACATTATTTATTTTGTGGATGTTTTTATTGTTTTACTGCCTTTTAAACGCCTCAACTGAGCCCAAAGTTCCTGTCGCGAAGTGAGACGATTATTAAATGAATTCTGCCCATTTTACTACCTTTCTTGACAACAGTTGTTAAGTGAATCGCTGCAGTTGTTCAGTTAGTAACCCAGTTGTTAAGTGAATCTGGTTTCCCCATTGACTTTGCTTGCCAGAAGGTTGCAAAAGGTAATCACATGAGCCCAGGCAGGAGTGGGCTTTAAAAATTTCAGTAACAGGTTCTCAACAGGTTGCTGGATGGGCGTCACCATGATGGATGTAACCTAGTCAGCCTCCTGCACCATGACGGAGGGGGGGGGGAGATATTTTCACCTTCCCCAGGCTCCAGAGGCTTTCCTCAAGCCACTGGGAGAGCAAAAACTGCTTCCCTCAGGCTCTGGAGACCTTCTGGAGGCCAGTAAAGGGCCTGTTTCTGGCGTCCCGGAACTTCCGGGAACTTATCCCTTGCATCCAAAATGGGCCACATGGAGACTTCTGGGAGGGGAGGGGTGGGGCAAGGTGGGAGGGGCCAGCCAGGGGTGGGATTTGGAGGTTCTCCCAACCTGCCATTAGCTATGGGTTCTCCTGAACCTTGGTGAACCTGTAGCAGCCCAACCCTGACCCCAATTTATGCCAACATCATAAATTGTGCAAGTTACAATTGCTAAATGTTTGAATTTTGGGATTATAGGGATGCCACAACCATTGTAAGTGCGAAAAATGTCACTTTTTTCATTGCCGTTGTAATTTCGAATGGTCACTAAATGAACAGTTGTTAGTCGAGGACTAGCTGTAATTGTATTAAAATTTTACAGTTTTAAGCAAGCCAGAGTCACTTGGTTGAGTTGGGCAGCTATAGAATTTGAATGGATGGATGGATGGATGGATGGATGGATGGATGGATGGACGAATAAATGAATGTTGTCATGGCAATTCATGGAAATCTCACTCTAGATGTGTTTGTTCTCTTTTGTGTAGGCAATGGAAGAAATCTGAAGACTTCAACTGCATCACATTGTACTTCAAGCAGGAATCTCTGGAGAAGGAGGTAAATTATAAAAGACTGGAGTGCAATTATTTCTTTATTTTAAAAACATTTTACTATCTATCTATCTATCTATCTATCTATCTATCTATCTATCTATCTATCTATCTATCATCTATTATCTATCCACCTACCTACCTACCTACCTACCTATCTACCTACCTACCTACCTACCTACCTACGTATCTATCTATCTATCTATCTATCTATCTATCTATCTATCTATCTATCTATCTATCTATCTATCTATCTATCTATCTATCTATCTA